AATTTTTGGTTTCTGAAGAGTCTATGTATTACATGTATTAAATTACCTATATGTTGTGGGGTTTTTTTTTGTTTTTTAAAGTTATAAAGATCTTCTCTAAAATGCATTGACTGAAGGAGTAGAAAGCTTTCTCTCAACCTCACTAAGGTTCTAATTACTGTTACTCTTTAGCTTCTTAAATTAGATATTCTTAATTAGACTAAAAATTACAATTTTTAAAATTTATTTTATGCTTTCCTCCTTCCTCCTATCCTGTCTCATGTTCACAGTTAACAGTAGTACATTATTGTATAAAACAGATGCATTAGACCAGCAGTCCTATCTATTAACTTCAATGGAATTTACTTGATTATATAGGCTACTGCACATTCTAGACTATACAGTTTCAGTGTGGCTGCGTGTTCTTTAGCAGAGAATATCTGTGCAGAATAGATACATTACTTATATAAATATAGCTTTGATAGCTGCTGTGGCAGAATCATCAATACTATAGGCTCCTCTACCATCCTAGGCCGTGGCCACAGCTGAACAGCTACTCTATTTCTTTAATTATTTCTGATGGGGCCTGGACCCACACCTACTAGTGTTGCTCGATATGAATGTACTCCAAATATTATGCCCACTAACTGAGTATTAGGAGACTAGCTGTGATATATAATTAATTAAAAGAACCCCAAACACCTATATATCCTAGGCCTGGGATTGTTCAAACACCCTTAGTATTAAAAAATAAAATTTTTAAAGCAATTGTTCAAATTTGGGGGATATTGGTTGTTGAGATAGTAGGGAGAGGAAAGCAAAAGAACTCTCCTTTACCCTCGTATTTTTCTAGGCATCTGCTATTGGCTTTGACAGATATTCCCAGGCCAATCCACTGTAACACAGGGCAAAGACTTTTTTTCACTTTGCCCTATTCATTGCATTTCACACACTTGGTTATTTTGTTTAAACACATTTAAAACTAGAAGTGAAAGGTGAGACACACACTTCTTTTGGTGTCAAAGAAACTCACTCAGCTCTAAAACCAAAATAACACACACACACACACTCTCACACTCCCTAACCTTGGTATGTTAATTTCAAATACATTTGGATCCAGAAGCTTTCACAAACATGTGTATTTATGAAATCATTTAAGCACTTGCTCTGTGTTTAACTATTAGCCTGTGTGAGCCAGCTAAAACAGGGCAGTTAGTGACATTTCTATGGATTTGCCAGTGAGTGGCCAAGTGGTGAAAACGTGCATAATTGTCCATTTCGAAATTATTGCTTTTTCTTTTCATGCATTAGTTTATGCATCCAATTATTGCAGTAGTTGTCCATATGTCGTTTATATGCACACACCGAAAAAAACCCAAAACAACAAAACTGGTTGTCTCTGAATTAGATCACACTGTTATACTTTCTCCTACTCTATAGAGAGTTCAAGAAGTGCAAATCTTTCTTATGCTGTTGGAAAACACCCAACCCAGCAACAACCACCTTGCCCACCACCCCAAAACAAGCTCTGATAAAAAGCTATAGACAGTAGCTTTTTTAGTGTCTCTTGTACATTACATGCAAACTACTTTTCACCTTTTTCACATTTTGCTGAGGCCAATTAAGTCTTTTCACATCTACGGTGCCTGAGTCATTGGACCGTCTTGCTCTTTAAAATTCAAACATAGGGGAAAAACACAAAGTCTTTTGTGTGTCTAAACCTGTTTGCCGGTACAGCCCCAGCTGCTACAACAACCTGTAAGCTGTTGGAGACACATCAACTTTTTAAAGACATCTGTGTAGCTTAATAAGGCTACATGGGACCCTCATTATTGTGAAGATCGTGGCCTTCAACTTGTTTTAGCAGCACTAGCCTTCCCATCAAAGGGAAATGGCAAGTAGCTGCATGCTTGCATTTGCTTGAGGCCTTGAGTGAGTCATCTCCCTCACCCCATGTTTTCTCTATCCCTGTGTGGCTGGGTTTTGGGCTAGTAGGGCTTGTAGGTCTTTTTGAGTTACAGGCAAAATAAAAACATCGTCCATGAACCTTCAGTGGTGATCATGCCCCAAAGCAAGGGATTTATACTTCCCACCACATATACTTTGTACTGTTGGGCCATCCATGCTGATAGAAAAGAAGAGCTGTTAAAATGGAGGTGACTGCTTAAGAAAGTTTTATGAAAAATACAAGCAAATTATTTTTTTTCCATTAATAGATATTTAGTTTACTTATCTTACCAGCAACAGTAAAACAGTCACATTGAGACCTTTAAAAAAAAAATGCATTTAGACTGAATAGCATTTCTTTACACCTTTACATTTGTTGTGCTTGGCAGTTGCCACCGAAGAAACATATCATCAGAGGACACTTTTATCCTTTTATCTTAGTGCTTGGGAACAATCAAAATAATAGCCATGACACAGCAAGACAGCAGACTTGCTGGCAATGTGGGAGCATGAAGGTGCATGGGTGTGAGGAGGGGCCAGGAGCACATGCCTAGTGCAGCAGTTAAGAGAGGTTTCTGCAGTGTACTGGCAGTGCACTGCTGATATAACTAGTAGGAATGACTGGTTTTTAGTCAAACCAGGAGGCAACAATAGGTAGGATTCCTTCATGTGCTAGCCTGTGAGTCACATATTTTCTTTTCTTTCTTTCCTCACCACCCCCACCCTGGGGAAAAAAAAAAAAAAAAAGACCACCTTCATGTGATGACTCTGTTGCAAATACACCCACCCCACCCCAATTCTTTTATATATATATATTTTTATATATATATATTTATATATTTATATACACACACATATATACATGTGTACCTGCATATATGCAAACACACACACGCACGCATGGACCTAGACAGTCTCTCCAATATGAGTATAAAAATCCAAACAAACCAAAACAAACCGTTTTGCCAGGTTTAATTGTGCACGCAGTTAATGAAAAAGCTGAAATTTCCCTAACCCTCTGGCTCTTTCCTTGTCTTTTGAGAAAGGAGTAAGAACTATTAATAAAGATCAAAAAACTTTTTTCTACAGCAGTGGTCATGTGGTCTGTCAGCTGTCACATAGTCCGCTTTTCCAGCCACTTGCCTTGATGTGACCTCACATAGCTAAATATTGGTGCTGGCCTCACTGTAGACTTTGATGGCTGAATGTCAAAGATCGCCAGCAGGGTTTCTACATGTTCCTCCGTCTAATTGCCAGAACTCAGTCCTGTATCTTTGATCATTAAAAAAAAAAGAGCATGACGAAAAGATTATTGAGTTCTTTTAGCTTTTCTGTAAGTGGGAAATACAAACCCATAGCTATACTTATTTGTCTTGCTTGCTCTCTACAGGTGTTGTTCTGTCTGTTGCTACATATAAAACTATCAGTACTGGGCAAGAGTGTGTGTACTCAGATTTTGTACTTTATTTAGGTACAGTTGGCAACACAATATTTTAGGGTGTAATAGTTAATCTGGATACACACACACACAAATCTTAGCTATGTAGGAGTGTTGAATTTGATTATTTATTAGGTTTGATCCAGTGAGTGCTCACTTTAAAGGAAGGCCACTCAGAAATGGCACTTTATATGATAAAGTATGAGAGAATACTGTTCTCTGCCTGTAGAATAAACATTGGTCTTCTAAGGAAAAAAAATGTTAAAAAATTCACATGTACTTGGTGAACACAAATTTCAGAAATTCTCCTACATTCAGGACCAGCTTATTTCATTCTGATTATATTATGAAAGCAGTTCATAAATAAAAAGGAGCACTGACTTCAAAGTAAAGGCTTAAGATGACCCAAAGCAGAATCTGGTTGTAGATTATAAACTCACTGGTTGACACAGCATAGCTTGGAAGAACTTACCAGAATTGTCTTCTGTTTCAGGGACTATGAAATGGATTAAACATGATCTAAATAATAATTAAAAACTGATTAAATTGTTTTGTTACTTTGCAGGAGACCAGAATATTTTAAACAATCCAATTTTACAGATACTGTATTAACATTTCTTGTTATTGTCTTTAAGCAGCTAGTCTACAAAATGTAACAACAAAGTAGTCACAGTCCAAGAAGTCACTCCAGAATAAAGCCTATTAGGTGTTACCATGATTATATTTGTACTGCAGCCAGTGGACAAACATTAAAGCTGAGATAGTTTAGCTTAAATGTTAGATTATATAGTGGACATACTGTTTTCACAATTAAATCATCTGCTTTGTTTTGTTTGATTCACTGATATTTCTCTAATCATCAAAGTACCACAGTATGTTTTTTAGTGTGGTGTTCAACAGTTCTGCAAGATTACAAAGCCTAAAGTTTACTTGCACAGTGAAAATCTGTCTTTCCTGATGGCTGGGTCCTAAGTTTTTGTTTTAAATTTTATTAGCACAGCCTTTTCTCTCTCTCTCTCTTTTTTTTTTTATTTTATTTTTTTAAATTTTATTTTTCTTTTCTTCTTCACAGCTGTGTCAGATGTTGTTAATTTGAGATAGAGAGCATTCATAATTTAGAACATCAAATGCTTGGGTGGATAGATACTGCAGCACAGCTAAGAAACATCACATTTTTTTGTCTGATGGCTATAAAGCATGTTGGCAACTTTGCAAAACTACTGGCACCAATCAAAGGCCTTTTGCAAGTTATCATAAGAAATACATTCATTACTTTAATTTTGATTTGGTTATCACTGTACTTTTATGTGTGGTGTCCTGGCAAAGTAAAAATAAAGAAAAAAAGGGAAAAGAAAAAAAAAATAACAAATCAAAACCCAAGTGATAAAATAAATTTTCCTTGGTGCAGGAATTAAGGGAGAATAGCATGTTGTGAGATTATAGAGCTGAGGCTAAATCAGTTTTTATCCTAATCTGAACTCACCAAAAGGAGATGCAGTGTGCTGTTTACTACAGTATGAGCTAGTGCCAAAGTGCTAATGTCTGGAGCTAAACCTCGATACATATCAGGATTTGCCATTGATAGCAAGTGCTGCCTGTGTGTGTGTGTGTGTGTGCGTGTATGTGTGATTGGACCTTAACATAAATGACAATTAGCATGATCTGTATATGATAATAAAACAAAGAATATTTCAGAAGAATGTTACATGTACAAAAATATGACTTTCAACTTTGAAAATAAATTCAGTTTATTAAGAGCTGGTGTCGATGCTGAACAAAATACACATCCTCCAGGAAAGAAACATTTTGGTGAACGGTTTGTTTGTTGTTGTTTTTGTTTTGTTGTTTTATTTTCATTCACTAGAATACAAGTTGGACCTTTTTTCTTTTTTTTTTTTAATATATAATTTGTCTCCCTTAATTATATATCCTTATAACTATGACCATCATTCTCCTTTAAGCCAAAGACTGAGGTTTGTTGTGGTTTTTGTTTTTGATTGTTAGGAGTCTGGCCATTTTTTTTTCTTTTTTAAGGGAAAATACTTGACAATGGAAAAAAAAAATATATTTTTTTCTAATAAATAAAAATAATTTAAAATGCTAGAGGCTATACATGACTAGGTTTGATTATGTTCATTTATAAATGAAATTGTTTCCAAAGTATGTGGAAGCAGTATTAAAGGCAGACAAACAAAGATCTGTCTACTTTATTTTCCCATTAAGCTTGCCCGTCTTAACTTCTCCATCAGTGGTTTAGCATGTAAGAGGAATACATGTCACATCACCATTCATGAAGTTTGTCAGGCTTTAAAAAAATAGTTCTGGCCTTGAAGGAGTCAACATTCATCTTCAACTTCTCTGATTGGTGGTATCAAGCTGCTTGTCGATTTATATTGATTGATCTGATTGGCCATGTGAGTGCTCATGGGCTTGATTTGAATGTTTCTGGGATAGGCATTATCCGGTTCATCTGTAAACCATTTCTTTTCTGCTAAGGAGCAAAATGGGTAGAGACAGAATAAGAAGGAAAAATGAGAGTTTTAATTAGTGAAGCACATATACACATGAACAAACACACACACACACAAAAGGAGGGGGAACAGTCAGTAAAGTTTATCGAGAAAAAGCAATCAATAGAATGTGACTTTGACTAATTACTAGCAGTACAGTGCATTAGATATTAATACCTCTGAAAATACTTCTCATGAAAGGAAGATGACATGTTTGCAGATTTGATAGTAGAAGCTAAAGAAAACTGTTAAATTTTTTATTTATTTTTTTTTACGAGCAGGCGAACACCCTCAGATTCATGTATTGAAAAAAAATTGTACAAATAAAAGGCTAAATTGAGAAGCCAGGGAGAGCAGAAAATGAGGCCATGTACAGAGAAGCACCTAAAGAGTCAGAGGCTTTTCTGAACCATTTCAACCTCAGGGTGGTAAAAAATAATGCTGGAAAATGTAAAGAATTTCCCAGACCTGGTGCTAAAGTAAATAGGGATTGCAGTCATGCTGCCAGATGGCTGCGTTCCTGCATGGGATGCTCATTATATTGCTACTTAGCAACTTGGCTGCTGCTGACCCTTACAGTTTGGGAAGGGGAATAACTCCCCAGTTTGGGAGGGGATATGGAATGTATCTGGTGCTACAGATGCCTCTAGCAGGGGCTCAAGTTAATCCTGAATGGGTTGGTAGTGACACATGACAGCAAGGCAAAGGAAGCAAGGATTTAAAGGAAGGTTAGAGGGGGAGCTGTTCCATTTTATATCTTTGGGTAGTGTCTGGTTCCATGAGCACTGTAAGAGTTTTATGGTACTGATTTAGGGTGAGCTGGGAGCAATGTGTGAGGGAGTGAGAAGCCTCAGAGGCTGCAGCATGGCTGCTTATGATTGTAACCACTATATAGCAATATTCATACACAGCTGCAGACAAGAACAACTTAAAATTCACACCAGGAAAAAATAAAGCAAAAGAATTATCATCCTTTAGAGAGCAATTACTGCTGTCGTTTCTTAATTACAAGTGTGCAGCTTTACAAGATAGCTCTATTCAAAGACTTAGAAACTCCTGGCCTTAAAGTGGCTTATGGCCATTAGGTGCTAATGCTTTGTCAAGCATTTGTGAACAGGGATTTCCATTCCTGCCCTCCTTCCCCAAATTCCAGCTGTGGATGTGCAGCAGCGTAGGCACAAACGATTCTGGGGCTGGGATGCTACACCTGGGACACAAACTGCTGCTCTTACATGTCTGCACTACTATTCATTCCAATGGGGAACTCAAATTGCTTCAGAAGCTTTAGTGTCTCACTTGCATAACACAAACTGCCACTTTTGCTCACCACTGAAATGCTCCTTTATCTGGGCTGGCCTGAGGGCAGGAGTAGAAGGAGTGCTCATTTAAAATAAATACATAAATAAGTAAATAAGCAAATCAAACTGGGAACCATAAGGTTTGAGCACAAAAGCTCAGGATGTGAAGCAGAGAAGAGAAACTGGAGGACCAGCAGGGATAATATTTGGCCATAAATGCATAAAAATAAGCAATGAACTTCCAACTTTTGGCCTCTAAGAAGTGGATTGACTTCTAGAATTACCGGACTTCTCAGTCACTATCTTGAATATGAAATATAAAAAATATATACTTCATATAGATATCAAGCATCTACATGCAGCACTCCCATCCCCCCCAACAGCAAATGCCAAACTAATAAGGGTTTAATCCATCTTTCCCCTCCCCCCCCCCACCCCTTCCCCCAATATATTTGTTTCTTTTCATAAATAAAAAGGCTTTTAAAAAAAAATAGACGCAAAGGAATCATATTCATCATTAGTGGCTTATTACTGAAGGTAAACAGAACTAGAGTATTGTTTTTCTTGGCATTTTCTAAAACATATTTCACTTTTTTAAAAAAAATATCTTGCTCATTTGCTATTGGGATAAATAATTCCCTGCCCCCTTCAGGTTGCCCAAGTCTGAACAATATTTAATCTCCCATCTCTCCCTCTCTCTCTTTTACCTATTATAATTAAGTTCCCTTTGATTTGAACAGATTAGACGATAGGAATTCATGTTACATCCTACACACTGAAACTAACTGATTAAGTGCTTTAAATTATTCTTCCTGACAGAATGATAAAGTTACAATCTGTTCAGAGATGATCTACAGCTTGCCAGGCTCCTACTGCTTCTTTCTACATTCATTTATCTTTTTGTCAAGCAGTTAAAAAAAAAAAAAAAAAAAAAAAAAAGCAGCGCCTCAATTCCATAGATCTTTTAAAGTCATTGGAACATCTGAATTATTAATGAGACTTTAAGGGAATGGTTCCTGATGGGGGCTGGTTTAAGAAAGGTTGTGGGAAAAAAATATCTGGGAATGTGTACACATCAAAATAATTTCAGCTCCATTTAAAAACCCATTTAGTTCAAGTGTGACACATGAACCATTATGCATTTGTGGAAACCAATTTTATGTGATCTACGATTAAACTAACCTTTCACAGAGGTGTAAAGTGTGATGGTTATCATGTTTTAAAAGCCTTGCAAGATCACATAAACAATTTCAAACTAACAGTTTTCTAATGGTTTGTGTTTAAAATGATTTTGAGGCGAGTTAAGCACTGTGAACTTTTACCTCTACCTTCTTTTTTTAACATATGGTGCACAAACTTTCCTTGCAAGGTAATTCAATCTCACAGCAAGAGATGGGAGGTGTGTGAGTGCTAAGGATCAGGCATGAACTGTACTGTATTTCTCAGCAGCCAGTGAAAAGCACATCTCCGCTGTTTCTCCTGGAATTTTTCAATACAAGGTAGTTATTTATGTTTATCTTTAAAATAAACATCTTATCCAGGGAGCTGATTCTTACAAAGACACCATCAAGTCTCTTTTTGCCTTCACTTGGCCAGTAATAAATACAGAAAATAAATAATAAATGCAGAAACTGGTAGATTCTAAATCATATGCTGTTTAAATTTCCTTTTTGCCAGTGAGGAGACCTTGACCCAATCTAGGCATTATCATCACGTCCAGAATCAAGTGTTTGGACCCAGCTTTAAATCTTCCTTTCTGCTGTTAAAACAATTGTCTTTGACCACATAACAACTAATCTTCTGATAGTCCAGTGACCTCTATACTTGCCTTTGAAATGCGAGCTTGACACTTCTCATCTTTACTCTTGGCCACTAAGATATTCTGCTCCCAGTTACTAAATGCCCTTCTTGAATCCCTTACACCCTTTTCAAGCTTTTCTTTGTTACACTTACAGTCTGACATTTTAATACATCTTCCCAATTCTTAGATTTTTACCTGTCTTAAACAAACTACTCTTTCTTTTAAATCAGTCCAGAAAACCCTTTATAAAGTCTTAATACGTAATATAATAATCCACCAACTTTTTTTTTTTTTTTTTTAGTTCGCTATTATGTTTTGTTCATTCTGTTTTAGTCCCTTTTGGCATATGCATATTGATCCTTACCATATGCATTCCTATGTTACACTAAGACCAGGCATTGTTTTCTATTTTATTTTTTTTAAGAGCTGTTCAAGAGAGTCCCTGATCTTCCCACGCTATTTGATGGGTTTGTTTTTGACAGCATCACCTGAGACGTTGGAATAACTTCCTCTCAAACACCTGTATTTGCAATGGGCCATCAGCATCCCAGTGCATCCATGAAGGTTCTAAAGGCTTCATGGTCTTAGTACGAATAAATAAAAAATAATATCTTGTATTTTTTTTTTTTTTTTTAGTTCGCTATTATGTTTTGTTCATTCTGTTTTAGTCCCTTTTGGCATATGCATATTGATCCTTACCATATGCATTCCTATGTTACACTAAGACCAGGCATTGTTTTCTATTTTATTTTTTTTAAGAGCTGTTCAAGAGAGTCCCTGATCTTCCCACGCTATTTGATGGGTTTGTTTTTGACAGCATCACCTGAGACGTTGGAATAACTTCCTCTCAAACACCTGTATTTGCAATGGGCCATCAGCATCCCAGTGCATCCATGAAGGTTCTAAAGGCTTCATGGTCTTAGTACGAATAAATAAAAAATAATATCTTGTATAAGACTGTTCCCTGCAGCATAAAAAGACACAAAGGATTATATTTAAATTATCAAAATACAGATTTCCTCAACTTGTGCAAGACTTGCAATTCTCTTAAACAGATTTATTGCTCCGGTGTTTTAAAATTTCTGGCATTAATTCTGAACTGAGTAATTACAGTTTAATAAATTTCACTGTGGAATGCCTTCTCTTCAGAGTCAAGGCAAAGAAAGTAATAGTTAAACATGACTCAAAGATTTACTAAATCTGTATTTTCACCATAAAGCCAGGTTACATTACCATTGTGTTAAACTTTTTTTCTTTTTTTTTTCTTTTGTGACACTTGCAGTTTCAAATGAATCTGTATGTATGTGCTTGAGTGCTTCCCCTACTCCACACAGGCAGCTTGTTTATAGCTATGCTGAAAATTCTCTCATGCAGTTTCTTTCTGTATGAGAAAAAAAAGGCATGAAAGTTTCTCCACCCACCTGCTCAGCAATTCTTGTTTGGCAGATTAATATTTTACATGTAGCTGGCATTAAGTAATTTGCAGGTAAAGAGAGAAGAAACTTACTTTCTGTGAAGGTCTTTATTTTGCTCCAAGCCAGCTGAATTTTTGGGGCAAAACTGCTATTCTGAACTTGCTCTTGATGATTTTTTATTTTTTAAACTAGCAAAATCCTTACTTACTTTTGAAAATGGGAATTTCACTGGAAAATGCCTGACTCTGCCAGTTTAAGCCAGTGAGAATCCATGCCAAGAACCTTCCGCTTTGCTAGATGTGATTTGATGTCAACAGTCAGATCAACCAACTTATTAAAATCTTACTTTTGAATATGAAAGATTTTGACAACATAACATAGTTGATTTAAACATTCGTCTGCTTGTAATGACCAACCTCCCAATTTCATTACTATATCCATAAGAGAAAATAATCATCAAGTAATAAACTGTTTGACCACTTTGACTATAGTTAGCAGTGAGAGTTAAACATGGTATATAACTAAAAATCAAAACTTTAAGACTTTGGACAGAGGAGAATTAAACTTCAATATAATTTAGAGAATTCAGATTTGTATCCATATTAGATATTCCTCTTCTGTTGCTTACAAAGTAGACAAGTTGCTTCTCTTATGTGCATTGTTTATATTTTTTCTATTTGTGCTCCACAGTTATACAAATACTATTTATATTTTTTTTTAATATAAAATCACAAGTGCTTTCATATTAAGCCCCTTCCTTCCTCTGCTAAATGGAAAAACAGATAAAACATTAATGGAAAAGCATTTTGGTGTCAAAGCCATTAACATCCTTTCAAGATGCGTAACTGCTCTTGACTATCTTTAGTCAATATTACCAACATATATATAAATGCTCATGAACATACATGGGGGACAAGGGAGTAGGGAGGGGAAGGCAGGAAAGAAACTGGAATGAGCAATGTGAAATTAAAGTAATGTCTGCACCAGCGTAGGCTTCTTCATTGAGCAGGAACCTGGATTTTTACAAAATGACACGTGCAATTAGAAAGGCAAGCAGATGAGAAGATAAAAAAATAAACAGGGTTGAGCAACAGCAGCAGCAGCAGCAGCCAGTTTTATTTCTGTTTTGGAGGGAAAGAAAAAAAGGCAAAAGAAAACCAACAAAACAACCAGCCAAACAAACAAACCAATAACTGAATAAAGTTTGCAACTATTTTTTTTTTTTTTAATTTCACAAGTTTTCACAAGGACAAAGTTATAGAAGGAAACCCACAGCAGCTACTAGGTCATGCAGAACCATTAATTGTCATACCTTGGCCCATTCTATTCATCCTTGTTGCACTTTAGAAAAAGAAGTAAGCTATGTAAGTTTTACAATGCTTTTAAACTGTCATAGTTCCTTTTGAGCACTTTAACTGGCACATCCTTGTAGTAATAAATATTCTTAGGGCAAAACATGGTAACTTTCTTTGCAAATTATGGATGCTTCCCCACAAATAAGTATATTACAGTTGCTCTTCATCATAAAGACAAATTAATGTTCTTTTTGCAATGTATTTCACTGATAGGACTTACAGCTGCATTTGAATGCACACATACGTATAAGCTGTATTCCAATCATAATGCTTACCACTGCACAGTGGTTCTCTCTGTAGCCCACTTATATGGTTCCAGGTTTTGTCAGTAAAAGTGCTTGGCTTCATTGTCAATTCACACAGCAAGCAAATCTTCAAAATTATCATGCTTGGGGAAGGGGAAGGTAGAAAACAACACTAACCATAAAAGCACCTTGTCTGTTTGGCAGTTGCTATGCTTATCACTCCCACATCCAAATATTTATTTTCTCTCTGCATGCTTTCTTGCTGGGTATCCACGGAAGGTGGCATGTATTGCTGGCCTCCCTACCCTGAAAAACTCTTCATACCACCTAGAACTAGTTCTATATTTCAAAAGGTTGGCATTTGAAATTAAAAAGAACCAACTAGCTGGACATATTTTTATGGCTGTCTAGGGTAAGTTCCTTTCCACTACTTTATTTAATTCCCTGTAAAAATTTTTGTTTGGCTAGCTGTGTCACTAGTGAGAATCTGCAAGAATCAAACTCTGGCAAGTGCCTAGAACATGATGCCTCACTACAGTGAATATTTCCACCCCAGCTCTCTTGTTCTGTGCATTAGCTGCCTAGGGCACAGCACCTTTTCTTCCCAAATGGGAGCAACCTTGCAAGGCACTCAGTTGTCTTCTTCTGTATTTCCTGCATACTGGCAGGCACCTGTTGAAAAGAACCAGCTAGAACATGGACCAGGATTTCTGGAGGAACTTCACATTTTAGGACTCTTGTTGGAAGATTTATAACACCACTCTAACTTGAAAAAGTTAAACTACCATCTGGGAAAGGAACAAAGTCCCTCGAGAACTGATACTTAAGCACAGAAAAATGCTTGCTCTTTTCTGAACATTATTTATTCAGTACAAAAGGTGACTAATTCACCTTTTAAAGACATAAAAGTCCCAGGAAGGCAGTTTTTTATGACTTACATCCAATATTTATGATACATATGGCTTTTTATCCCAAATGTCAAAAGTGAAAGAAAAAATAGCTATTCATGTGACAGTATAAATAGACAGAATAATAATTTAATATGCAATTAGATGCTTTCTAAACTTAAATTAAACCATTGGAGTTTTACAACACCATGCCCAGATAATTTCAGTATTAAAGGGAAAAGACTCTATCTCCAAAAGGCTACTATTCCAGAGAAAGTACTCAAACAAGCAGAAAAGTCCCTGATGTTGCTTTGGTATAAAGCAGGTGTGTAGCAATAACCCATACAAAGAGTGTAAGCCCTATACAATGTAAGCTTTGAGAGTGAAAAATCTGTAAGGTGTTTTTTTGGAGGTTTTTTTGGTTTGTTGGGGGGGTGGGGGGGGGGGGGGCGCTTTTTTTTTTTTTAACTTATTTAGTTTAGTTTTGGTTTTTTTATTAGGTTTTAGAAGCTTCAAATAAATGTAGCAATTCCTGTAAATAATGAATAAAATAAAAAAAACCTACCGCAACATACATCAACACTTCTGCACTAAATTACTTACTTTGTGTAACTCTGACATCAAGAGCAAGTGTTCATGTTAAATATACTCTATTTTCTGATATGTAGAGTAATTGCAGTGAGTTATTTATGTTTTCAGTGTGCCTATATGTTTAGAATTTTTTTTCTCCCCTAGCATCATAAATAACTTTTGGTCCGTCTGCTTTGTTGCTGTTGTGCTTAAGGGTTTTATGGTGGTGAAATAAAAATGACAATCACATGCACACTGTCATACATATGCAAAATATGTGTACAAAAAAGGGAGAACTCCATGGGAAAACAGGGAACTTTACTGCTGGAAACATTAACCAGGGATAATGGGTAGTGAAGGCAAGTTTCACACACAGTGGGAGCAGGTACACATATCAAAGTCTATCTTCCTGCACATACTTCTGTTTTTCCCGGGAATCCCTGGTCTTGGTGCGGTTCGGTCGGTTTGCTGTTGATGGGATGGAGTGAGCTGATGAGCTCTTCTTGCTGGAGGAATAGGAGGAATGGGAGGAATGAGAAAGACTGGCCCGGGACTGGCCAGCATTGTGGTCAAATTGCATCAAACAGAAGATTAAGTCTGTCGGCACAAGCTCAAATTCATATGGTGGGTTTGTGATCACGTAACTGGAAAGAAAAGAAGAAAAAGAAAGAAAAAGAGAGAAAACAGGTTTAGATTTGTACTAAAAAGTTTCTCCTAGAGTTGTTATCTTACGAACATTCTAGAGTTATCTCATGAACATTTACACAGATTTTTTACATTTCTTTTTCCTTTAGCAGGTATCTAATGTTAGCTCAGATAATACCACTTATGATTTAGGACCTTCTTATGTCAGATAACACTTTTGGTGTGCTTTCTGTTGAGTAGGACAGACATACAGTCGAGTATACTGTTCTTCAAGGGAATCCCATTATAATTTTTCAGAGAAGACACATACAAAGCACTCTCTCCAGCTGCATGTAATGCAATCACTCTAGCAAACAAATTCACAAATGACAAAATTCAGTAACACACCCACCAGCAAGGGTATTTAAAATAATGACTGAAAAACAGGGAGAGAAACATTTTAGGTGCATTTGTAGTTAAATACATATTTACTATAAATTTCATAAAGACTTAAATATTCTCAATAGAGCAAGGAATATAATTATTTGTTTGGATTATGACTGTACATAAACAAGTTAAGCAAAATGTATCAGCAAATTCGCAGTGAGGTTAATTTTGTTTATTCATTCCACAGATGGATCCATCGCCCCAAAGAGAATTTATAGAGAAATCTTGACATTGAAAAATCCAAGATGGCTAAGTATACAACACAGGCCTGAAATAAAAATTCTATCAATTGCAAGAATTATCAGCTTGAACTAAACCCCTTTTTACAGTAGGAAGGGCTTATAGATTCTGTTGCTACATTTTTGTATATGCATGTGAAAAACATATTTGAGCAAGGCAATAAGCATTTTGTCTGAGCAAGAAAAGAGCTCACAACTTATTTTCAAATAAATTCAGGGTTCATTGGAAATCTGGCTTAGCTACTTCAGGGACAGAAGTTGCTTATTAATCCAACAAATAAGTATAGCAAGTACAGTGTAAATCTAAACTGAAAATAATTTTTGCACCAATTTGTCCAAATCCTTATTGAAGAAACTGCTTTTGAGGGATGCAGTGTTGTTTATTGCCATGTCCACACAATAATGATGCTTTTTGCAGAGAATGAAATAATAACAAGATGATAGATTTTGGGTGTGGGTCTGTGTGTATATTTCTAGTAAGGCACTTAATTAAGACACATTTCAAGTAAGCTGCTAAAAGGCCTTCAGTTTGAAATGATGGAAATGTGTCTGCTCTATTTAAAGCTCTGAGGTCACCCTTGGTACTATTAAAGTAAACATACAGCCTACCAAAAAAAAAAGTTTCCATTTACTGGAAGAAATTATTAATAGATACAGACAGTACCAGTGGGAAGCCCATAAGAGTATTTTCTGAGCATTCGGAAAAAAAGAACAGCCTAGCTACTATAATCTAATTATTATCCAGCAACTTACAGCTGATTGATATTAGCAAAGTCCTTCCCTTGTATGCAAGCAGTGGATCATTGTAAATCAAACACTATAAAACTACGTTCTGAAAAATTACTTTAAATTTTTATTAAAACTAGCTGATGACTTATGTTGTGATATCCACCTATGATTTAAACTCAGCTAAAGAACAATAATGAAATTCTCAAAGACCTAGCTTTTGTGGCAAAGTTATGTAAAAAAGGAAGAAAGCTCTTTTTTATTACAGGCACTGAGATCTTTGTCACTGAAAAGGCTGAAGAATGGTGAAGCTGAGATGTTCTAAAAGACTGTACTTACCGTTTAGTGCATTGGCTGGGAGTACTTAGATGTGCATCCCTTAATCGATAAATTCCAAAGCAAAGCATATTGTATGTTTTCAGTGCTTTACAAAATAGATCTCCATAACAACCTCCATCCTGGGAGAAAGAAAGGGGTGGGGAGGGGAAAAGAGAAAAGCACATTTTTTTTCCTTTCTTTTCTCTGTTAAAACAATGTCAGGGAACAGGATTTTTCAGTATGAGCCTGTACAAAAAGGACAATGTATATACAGTCTGTTGTTTGTCACAAATGAGAATATTTTTACCCAAGGAAATCAATAAACTAAATGCTTTATTTCAAATCTGTAATTATGTAAAGTGATTGTTATTTTGGAGAGCCTTGGTCTATGAAATGATGGTGAATTAGGAAGAGTGAGTGATTTGCTTGAAGATGGAAATAGAAATTTTGGTACCAGGTAATGCATATCTTAGAAATTACATTAACTATGGTCTTAAAGTCATTAGTATTTTTGACCCTTTTTGGCAGTAGCTATATTCTTATCTAGATTAAAAAAAAATAACTGAGGAGCACAACAGAAATTAAAGTTTGCAATTTTTCATAAATAATATGTTTAGATTGGCAAACAAAGTTTAGATTTTATAATTTGCATATTTAAAATACTGATTCTTAAGTAATAATGAGTGTTAATGTATTCTTTTTTCACTGCTTTTCTACATTTGAGGCTTTGGCAAAACAGGATTTGAAAGATTGGTATTGCTTGCTTTAGTTCTGAAAATGTTGCGCTGCATGCCCATGTGTCTTGATGAGCTGTTGGTTCCTGCTATGAAGGGACTTTTACAGGAACTGAAAGGTTGTTTGTTTCTATCTGTGTACTCTCATCATCCTTAATCCTTAAACTGGGATTCCCTGTCATTTCTGTGAAGAAGGTCACTCCATTGTTTTTGAACAGAGCTAGTGAACACAACGTTAATTTAAGAAACAGCAAATCCTACATGATCATCAAAGCAAAGAGGGTACTTTGAGATTTACCTCAATAATATTGCAGGATTTGATGCAGGAAACATTTCTAGATACTTCTTTATCCAAATGTACTTTTAAAAAAAAGATTATTTGTGTACTTGTTTTTTGTTTCTTTTTTCTTTTTTTTCTTTTTTTTTACTTCACTCTTAGGATAGTGGGGTCAAAATGTCAGAAAATTAGGATTTGACAAGAATTTTAGTTTGTCCAGAAAAGGCAGAAAACAAGCTTTATAGCTTTGTTTTCAAGCTAATGTGCATATTTTAAACATGTACTGGAAGCTCTAAGGAAAGACTAAATGAGCTTATCAAAACCCAGCAAATGTATAGATATTGTATGGGTTTACAATGGATTATTTTTAGAATGGTTATGTCATCTGAGTCAGTTCATCCATCTCTTTAGCTGACAACTAAGAAGAGACACAGGATATTCTTAATGAAATATCAAGGCAAGGAGTATGGGATGTCATATAGCTTCTCAAACATGGTATGAGTAAAGCTGGCACACTGTGCTGCAAATTGTCAAATGATCCAAAAGTTCTATTAAATAATAGAAATTATATGGTAATTAAGATAGATTCAGTCTGAGAGAAAACAAATAGATTGAAGACCAGCCTTGGTACTACATTTCCCTCACGATCTTACCCCTAGGTCTGCAAACGGCCCATCATACAAAGCCAACTGAGCAACTCGACACCTGTCCCTGTTTGCAAGTGTCTGGGGCGTGCTGTAACCTCCTCTCAATGCGTTTTCCTCAGCAATCAGTGCTTCCAGCTCTGGTGTGGCTCCTCCTGTTACCAATGTCCGTATCAGCGTGAGGATATTGTCATTGAAGTATGTCTGCAGAGATAAAAGAAAGCTCTTTAAGCAAACACCATTAAAGTCACAACTGAAGACATCCAAATTACAACTTTTCTGGGTTTCTGCTGTTTAAAGTTCTTGTCTGTCTCTTCAAATAATTTTATATAGAAAGTGAAAAGACAGCAGTCTCCAATTACTCTATTTTCTTCTATCCCATTAGGCTCCTGTACTAGATCCTTCCTTTTAAACACCAATTCAGGCTGATTTTTATTTAAGTACAAAAATTTGAATGATTTATGTTTCCTATAATTGGTGTTAGTAGTGATGCAATGACTGCTTTCTTTCTCATTGCCTTCATGTCTAATAATGGGCTTTAGGACATGTAATTGTAAAATTCAGACCACATTTAAAGCTTACACAGCCTAGATTGCCTTTTTACTCTTGTCACCAATTCGTTGGGGAGCCACCTTTGTGCTGCAAATGTCATTACTTATTACTGTGGCTGGACTCTAGCAGTCTAACCAATGTATTGTACTAAATATCTTATTATAAGACTTGACAGTGTTCAGACATAAGCATGTATCAATTAAACATCTTGAGTTCGTTCCAGATAAATGTATGATGAGTTTGGGATCCTAGTGGTCCTTTTAAAAAACTCTAGGGTATAGGGTAAGTGTGTTTTATTAGGGAAGATTTACTCCACACTGACATTTTGCCAGCATCTGTAGCATTGCTGGTCTGTCAGGCAAACAATGGGTACTTTAAATATTAATTTAATGCCAGATGAATGACTTTCAAGATCACTTAAAAGTATTCTGGTATAGTTCAGAGATACTCAGTCAAATATCTGCAAGGTAACGTACTGAGCAAAAGATAATGTTGAACAAAAACAGAAGAGACCATCACTTACAATGTCACTATTATCTGTGTTCTGAGAAACTTTGCAAGTGTGGGGGGACATACAAGAATAAAAGGAGCTCACTGCAGAGTACATAGGATTGACATTATTAGATTTGTGGATTCCATTACTAGATTTGTGAATTTTGTTGAACTTAGGACATGGAATAAAAGCCTGTAATCCATCGAAGTAAAATGAATACTGAATTCCCAAACAGTGCTTCTTGTCCAAATATAATAACTTTTTAAATACTACTTTTCAATTAAATTCATGGCTCTATCTGTATAGTGTACTGTATTTAATATATGAGTAAACTCAGGTATAGGTTGAAACACTTTATTCTGAGACCAGAAAGCAGAACTGGCTTTCTATCCATGTTACTTTGATATTCTTTGTATAATGAAATTTCAGCTTTATTGTTCACTTGAGATGACAGATAAAACAAGAGAAAATGAATTTTACGCAGCAACGTTTTTCACTGTTACACTGAAATTTCCTAACTTTAAGCTTCTCTGCTTATTTACAGAGGCATACGTGCCATTCACTTGTTGATTAAATTGAGATAAACATATTTTTATTGTTATACATGCCCTAAAGCAAATATTTTTATCTCATCAACTCCAAATATTTTAAATTAGCCTGAGTAAGGCACTACATACTCTAAACACAAAGTATACTGTAAAGAGCTGTCTGGCATTAGCAGGGGTTCAGGACGATTCCATTAGTCTACCACAACAGCTAATCTCAAATCAGCTCTTACATATGTGGATGTACTGTGTAATAATTCAAGTGTAATATTCAAACCTTTTTTAACATACTGAAAAATCACTGAGAGCAGCTCTGTGGAGAAGGACCTTAGAGTCCTGGTAGAAAACAAGTTATCCATGGGACAACAATGTGCCCTTATGGCTAAGAAGGCCAGTGTTATCTTGGGGTGCATTAAGAGGACTGTCTCCAGCAGATCAAGGGAGGTTCACCTTCCCCTCTACTTGGCCCTGGTGAGACCTCACTTGGAGTATTGTGTCCAATTCTGGGCTCCCCAGTTCAAGAGGGACAGGAAGCTACTTGAGAGAATCCAACAGAGCGCTATGAGGATGGTTAACGGACGGGAACACCTGCCTTACGAGGAAAGGCTAAGAGATCTGAGGCTTTTCAGTCTAGAGAGAAGACTGAGGGGGGGATCTAATTAATGTCTATAAATGTATGAGGTCTGGGCATCAGGATGGCAGGAATAAGCTTTTTTCACTTGTGCCCTGTGATAGGATGAGAGGCAATGGACTCAAACTTGAGCATAGGAAGTTCCACCTCAACATGAGGAAGAACTTCTTTACTGTGAGGCTTACAGAGAACTGGAACAGGCTCTCCAGAGAGGTTGTGGAGTCTCCTTCTCTGGAGACCTGTCTGTATGCCTTTCTGAGTGATCTGCCCTAGTTGTTTGTTTGGTGTTTTTTTGTTTGTTTGTTTTTCCTGCTCTGGCAGGGGGGTTGGACTCAATGATCTTCGGAGGTCCCTTCCAACCCCTATTATTCTGTGATTCTGTTACTACTATGAAACTTATGCAGAAGAGAAAAGAATCAGGTCTATTGTCAATGGAACAGAATGCTGTCACCACAGAAAGGCCTCCCACTGCTAGACAAATGTAAAGGCAAAACTAAGACACTTACAAGCTAGGGAGGCAAAATTTATCTAGGAACAATGGCTTAATTTGGGTTTCACACTATGTCTGATGTGGATGTCAGCATTTAATCAGTTTAATCAACGAGTGCTGCCAAATTATGTTTTTTGTTTTTTTGCTATCAGTGAGTGAAAAGAATCTGACTTTCTGGACAGATGCTCTGGCATTGCAACTGATCAGAAAATGCCCCACCATAAGCAAGAAAGGATGGGTGAATAGGAAGCTGTAAGTTGCCACCTTCTGCTAAACAGGGCTGCTTCCTTCTGTACTAATATATTTAACGGTCGTCAGGAAAAACCTGTCTGCTGATGCTTTCGATTGTCATGAAAATCAGACTCCTCTCATGACCTCTAGCCATTTTGGACCTGGAGACACTGAAAAGATGAACTAACTGATACCCATTTCCTTTTGAATAATAATACACTGAAATTAATTTGAGAGTGATCTTCACTTATTCTGTGGGAGGGTATGTGGCCTGGATATGCCAGTACTTACAAGAAACTTGTCTACAGAATATTTTTTGAAAGGTGCTGCTGTAGTTAAAACCAAGACCTGTTACAGTGATGGTAGCTAATCCCTTTTGTTGACTATAAAAGCATAATTGAAGAAATACTTGTTTGATGCTGCTATTAACTGAATCCCACACTGAACATCTCTATGACATCACTGTAATTGGCACCTGGAATGAGAATAGGAAATAGGTGTCGTCCAAATACAGAAAAAAGGAACTGCATCACAGACACTGAAACTAGGTAAATAGCAAAGAAATTCTCACATAGATATCTGAGCTAGCAGTGCCACCTAGCCTATGCTCCAGAATTGTAGTGCAGCTCTTCTACATGTTTAGGGAATGCTTTCCTGTTTGTTCAATCGTTTTTAAAAGTATAATTACCAGAGTGTTTATGTTTTGCAGTTAATGTTGTCAAGCCTTTTAAACTAATTGGTCTTTTACAGAAAAATTAACTGAAAATTAGCACATCTTTTAATAACATTGCTTTAACTTTAATGGCACTTTGCCGTTCATTTATAATTACTCTGAAATTGTAATTTTCCAAGTAATATCTGCCATTTTTTGTGTTTGCTAGATTATTTTTTTTAATTTCTTTTAAGAAGATCCCCTTTTCCAAAACACTGCATGCAGTTTTCAATATCGTTTTCAAACAAATATTTTAACTTCCTTTGCTTTTTTAAATGGAGGAATTCTGGAGGAATTAATCATGCATATCCAAACCTGGGGAATGACTGAGCTAACATCAGTTACATATGCCAATAACAAGAAGGCCTTTGAGACAGAATTAACAACAAAAAAGAAACAGCAGCATTTTACAGTGTTTGAAAATCTGTTGATTCTTAAAATATTGTCTGAACGTTAAAGAGGTTTGGGACACTTTAAGGTAAAAGACGTTGCCTGCTAATCCTCTGAAAAGACTTTCACAGAAAATGGTCTTGTTTTTCAAAATGTCTGTATTACAGTTTACAACAGCTTATTTTCTGTATATATGAGACACTGAGGATTCCTGAGGCCAGCAGAACTTTTGAGTAACTCTTTTAACTATTGTCTTCTATTCTGTACTTTTGTTTATATGAAGAAAAAGTAGAATTTAGTGTCATAGAACAAAAATGAAGACCTAAAGTTCTAGCATAAGGAAATAAATTCTATGATACTGAATGCTAAATTGCATTAGTCTGGTTCTGGAGATCCTTGCCTCTAATGACACCACTCTGACACTGTATCAAGTCTGCAGTCTGTGGTATGTATGGCAGGGATGCCAACCCACCGGAACTTCTGTCATTCTTATAGCTTTAGGGCCAAAAGGAACAACAGAGAAGCTCTGGCTCTCAGGTCAACTATTCAAACATTTGAAAGTGCTGTGTATTTATAAAAATGGCTTCCTCAAACACCCAGGATTTTCTGGAATAATTAACAAGACCCAGAAAAGGAAAAAGTACATATATCCTGTGCCATGTAACTTTATCTTTGCAGATAACTTTTTAGAAAAACATCCACATGACCTAAAAGATGCTCCCAATCCCATGTTTTTTTAATCATGTTCAATTTGGTGATGAGAATGTGCTTTGCTTTTCAGGAACGATGCCACCTTGAATTCACAGCCTACATACATTCTTTTCCTGGCTTCGTATATCTTATGACAAAAAAAAAATAAATAATTATATATATATATATATATACTATTTCAAATTTAAAATATTAATTATTTAAATCAGAAAGTGACAACGCATTTTTTTAAACTGAGCTTCATGAGTAGGGTTTAGCGCTCTATTTCTATTACATGGAAGAAAATAGGAACACTAATTAATACAGTTGAATTATTATTATTATTATTCAATAGCTGAACAATAATTAATTAGGAAATTATTTAATATATACTTTTAACTCTTATTCTGTATACACACATCTACATGTATATTTCAAATTACCTGCAGGTCAAAAAGAATACTGCATGCATGGGTATTATTCTACTTTCCAATCTTACATGTGTTTTACTACAAAACCCTACTACTGTGAGATGAGATTAATCCTTAATGGAACAACAGTTCATGCATTGTACATTTGCACTGTAGATCACATGAGGAATTTGCATTCCAGAAATATCAGCACAGATCATAAGTTGGGGTTTTTTCCGATAAAAATAAGCAATAAAACCCCATAGTCACTAAATGGATCACATAATGAGCTATCTCCTTGTCTCATAGTGAACTGGTACATGCTTTTACAAAATTCCTGTGCAATTACTTATTGCAGAACTCACATAGGATTTTTGGGTTCAGTTTGCCAGTGCTGGCTTGAACTTAAATAGAAGATAAAACAACTGTAAAACAGAAGAGTCCCTAAAAAGAAGTGTACTCTAAAAAGAAAAGGATATAATATAGTGCAAGTAGATTAGTTAGTGAGAAGCATTCTCTTCCTTGGGGAAGTGGTGAAAGGAGAATACATCCTTCCCATGAGAAGAAGAATAGTAAAGGGAAAACATCTCACACACCCTACACATTCTGAAGGATCAGGAAGAATTTTACTTTTCCAACTCTTTACTAGGCCTTTGAGGAGTAAATGAAAAAAAAAAAAATGCTGCCACTGAGCAGCAAAGTGGTGAAAGAAAAGACAGGATGGTGAACAATATGGATGGAATAATTGGCTTGCATTCTTGATTTGTACTTTTTTCTAAGTTAGAATTTCCTACTTTTTTATCACATTGACTTGCCTGGCTTCAGGCTGCAATGTCCCTAACATATAATATGACCACTTCAGATATGAAAATGTTTGGAAAAAAGACTCAGTTGAAGAAAGGAACTGCAGAAACTGAGGGGCATGTTGTCAAAAGCTAAAAGTTGGTAAAAAGGTAGTAATAACTAAAACTCTTACGAGGATTACATGATGAATTCCAAGCACAAATTTCTGAACAGTCATGTTCTACATATTTCTTATTGCTTCACTATTATCTACACAATATACAAGAAAGAAATGGTATCCACAGCATCTCACTCTCTTTTTGTGGTGGTGCCAGGGGCAATCAGAAGAATTAACCCTATTTTTTCCAAGGTTCTGGAGTGCCCTACTGAGCAGTTAATTCAGGGACATTGATTTAGAGAATAATGTCAGTAGATAAAACAGCTCTCAGTATAACAATTTGGAACCTTCATGTTGAATTATTCCTATTTATAATGTGAAAATGTTAAATATTTTATAAATAGAGATTTTAATTAGAGAAAGTACAGAGTTTGTGTGCTTTCTGAATTTTTTAGTCTGCAAAATAACAGCAAATACATTTTTAAAAAAGTATTTTCTGAGTTTATGGCAAACTTGTAGGAAAAAAAAATTCAGTGTAGACTGATATTCATCTGTGGAACATATGAGGCACAGGAAATACAGATACATAAACATGAAATAGAATAAAATATAAAATAATAAAGATCCCTGTGAATTTTTCTCAAAAGTATAAAGCTTCATTCTGAATTTAGGTGAAGGACAGACTTGGCTCCTTTAAGGAAATGTGTTTGCTGATTTCTGATACTATGTGGGGTTTACAACAGATGATTCCCAGCACTTTGAAACTTCATTTCACGAGAAGCTCAGGAAACCTATGCTCAGATTTCAAAAAGACTATGTTCTTGGTACATCTAGCAGAGCCTAAGGTCCCTCTGAAAGAAGTGCAGCTCACACAGAGCAAAACTGGTGTGAAAACCTAGCCGATATGAAACAAGAGGATGAAAAGGAGTACAACTGAGGCATTTGCTTAGAAACTGTACTACGACTGCAAACCAAAAACCCTAATGCAGACATAAACAAAGGCCCCCATCTGTAGTTTCTGGCATGCACTTATGTTTTGATTCACAAGACAACTCATGTGAAAAAGAGATGATGACCTCTCTTCACATAAGTAGAGTTCACACGATGTGTACAATGACTCGTATAGTTCTGTCAGTGTCCCCCAGCGCTCATCTCAGAATGTTCATGGCTACAGGAAATTAAATCCTTAAAACATTGTTGATGCTGTCTGACATGAATAGTGAGCATAGGAACTGACACATGGAATTTGGGTCTGGGTTTCAAGAGGGAGACACAACATTTTTTAGAGAACATTATCCTTAAAGCCTGACATGAGACTCCCTGCTTTCCAAATTGTGGACTCACGGTAGTCCTAGATATCTCAGCTGTTTTAAGGTCTCTTTGTCCAACTAAAAATAACCTAGTTTAGGCTCCAAAATTCTCTTAAGATCAAAGCAAAAAGTGGCTTTTCCTGTCTACCTGTGGAAAAGGGACTACACTTTCATACTCTTAGTAACTCTGGGGGAAGGGAATGAAAAAGGTTTTGTTTGCTTACTGCGCTCATGAGAGAGTCCAGCACACTGACAGCAAATGCAGTTCCACATGCAAAGGGCTGCGTGAGATACAGTTCTGTGTCTGGATCGTCATCATCATCTTGGTCCAAGAACTGAACATTTGAATCATTTACTGAAAATAATAATAATAATATCATAAGGTTCTTCTGGGTCACCAGTATGCAACCTTACACATTACACAGTGAGAACAAAAGAGAAACGGCATGTGTCTGGAAACACAGACTTGTGTCTTTGATGTCACTGAAAATGAAATCAAGATGGATGTGAAAATGTGCATTAAAAAAATCTGTTGATCATTATCTTGCTCATAAGAGGTGACTCTCTTGCTCTTGACAGGTGACTATCCCCTTCCTGTAAAAGTAGCTTCGTGGCACCTGCTGCCTGCACTTAAATGAGATACATGATGCTCCTTTATATTTTGAAACAATCTTGGTATTGGTTGGGTTGTGGCTAAGGCTGTATGCATGTACAGTGAAATGTTATCACAAGATATCAAGTCAGAACTCTGTTGTAAAATAAAGGCTGTCCATAAAACCCTGATATATCCCACAGATATGTTAGATGTGCTGCTGTGATACTTACTTAAGTGCTATTAAAGCACTTCTGTCTCAAAAGAGGACAGACTGTCCCTTTAACATGCATCTATCTGAATGAACAATACTCCAGCTATTCTCTTGCAGTACTACCTTTTGTTCAAATAACTTCATTTCCTCAGCCACAAAGTCTGTATTAGCTAGTGTGACAAAGAACATACATCAGGCTGTTTTAATGAAAAAGCCCAAGTAAAGCAATATTTGTCATTTAGACTTTCCTTGGCATATCATTGTCACAAATAAGCTCTCTGTCTCCACCTCATTCAGCTAAAATAGTTGTTTACTTGAGATTAGTGTATCACGTGCATCATATTTCTTTACATATTTCATTTCCATATTAGCCCTCCACTGGCATGAAAGCACGGACCGTTTAGCTAAACCATTGAAATATTCTAACTTACTAAATGAAAAATTTGAGTTCCCATGCAAGGAAGGGAAATACATTTTTTTTTCAGCGTTTGAAACTTCCCACATTGACTATATCCCTATTCCCTATGTGATAACCTCTCCTGAGCCAAATCAGTGATCTTTGAAACCAACGCGAGAGCTGCTGTTAACTTCACCAGGTTTTGGCTCTGGAGTACTTAGGTTAGAACGTCTTCTGTCTACTGTTCAGATCTTCCTTCCTATACAGTTTCATTTTCCATCCATTCCTTTTCTAACCTGTATACTAGTGTGCTTGTCACACTTAGTTTACGAAACATGAACTATAGATAAGGCCTCACAATAGCTGTCTAAAGGAGATGAGAATTGTTATCCTCCATTTAGAGCACTGTTGAGCAAATACTTGGCCATGATTCAGTCAGGACCTGAGCTAAAGAAGGATTTATAAAATCTGCCTTCCCACTCCCTGATGTAACCATGAAAACACATGACACCTCAGTGTCGTAAACAGAAAGGTGTTCTGCCCTAGGAGTCAGAAGAATTTCATCTTAGCAAACACCAATATCCACAATACTCCTTTCATTCTACTGGCTATCAATTTATTCTCCAGATTCTTGAGTAAAATAGTATTTGAAAGCCTGATGTATCATTTAAAAGTGTACTTTTTGAAAAGCCTTTGCCTTTGTTTAATTTGCTAGTCGAGAGTAGGCACTACTGACAGTAGCATTCTTTTTCCACTTACATCTGGCAGACTAATACCTGACTTTGACACCAGCTCGCTTGCCATGCATGGTGTCAGTTTCCAAGGTACTACAAATCTAATGTGAATTCTGCAGGCACAGTTTTATCCTCAATAACTTTATCTTCCTAATGCAAGTTAGCATGCTAGGATTTCTGTGAGAGGTCTTGGGGCTGGGAGATGTAGACTCCAGTGTGTAGTGCTGCACCATGGGAAATGCTCATCAAACACTGCTCAAAAGGCTGGCACAAGCTCTTGTTATTTAAAGAGAGGGAGTAACACCGAAGCTTGGCCAGTTTTTTACAGCTTCAAAACCTGAGCTGCTGAGAAAAGGCCTACTCCTCAAAATCAACAAACAAATAGCTTAAAGGAAAGTATGAAACTGGGGTTTCATTTCTGATATCTTTTACGCCTTCTCAGACTTCTTGTGAGAACTGCTAAAGCATGTCCTCCAAATTGACAACAGGCTGAAATAACAAAATGAGAAAAAGAAAGGAGAGAAAAGGAGAGAAAAATTGGGGGGTGGGGGGAAGGGCCTGGGAGGTGGGGACCCAGGCCAAAGAAAATGAATTGGTGAGAAGGTGCTATGAAAACAGCCGGCAGGTCAGACGAGTGTGATCAAAGGTTTACTGATGCTGCGTGGAAAAAAAAAAAAAAAAATCATTAAGAAAGGCCAGAAAGACAGTCAGTTTCAACCAGAACCACAAATAAAACACATTCAAAGCAGTGCCATGAGGGTAGTAGCCCTCTGATACAGCCAGATAAATAAAGAAAAAGCTGATGGCAGTAAGAACAATAGCAACAGAAAATAAGACAGTGATGTGAAGGAAAAAGGCACTTCTTACCCAGTTCAGTTATCATTAGAATGTGGGTTCCACTGTTTTTTTCCTGACTGATTGAAACCAAAGGCAGAAGTTTGCCAGGCTTAGCTAATAAGTAAAGTATTTAGGGGGGAAAGAAAGTACAGAAAGAGAATAAAGTAAGGGAAAAAGACAGGTAAGGCTCTAAAAAATAAAACTGAGAAGGAAAATAAAAGGACAAAGGACCACAAATTGAGTTTGTATTTGCCATGAAAAAAAACAGGACAGCTTCTGCACTTCACATCACACCACTTGACAACATAAATACCCACAGCTAGAGTGGAAATCAGAGCCTGGTTACCTACCATCATCATATTCTCAGGAGTAAAATGTCTCATACTATTATACAGAATTCGGTTACACATGATTAAACAGTTCTGGACCATGAAGAAATAAACAAATGGCCTTTTACTATTGATTAAATGCATGGGAAATGTCTGTTCATACTTACTGTGTTGTTTTTTTTCTTTTCTAACCTTAGCCCAAAGAACCCTGCTTCTTTGTTACACTATGTAAAAAGCATCTTATCTGATTAGAGTGTTTATTTAAGAAAACAGAGAAAACCCAAAGGAAAGAGAAATATATTTCAGGTATTCAAACAAATTGAAGTAACTGTTACTAATTTTTCTTTAAAGAAATGAATAAAAGTGTTATCAGAAGAAAAAACATGGCAGTGTAAGATCCAGTACAGGTAATTTTCCTGAGAATTCATAACAAGGGAAGTGGAAAAAATATGGGAACGTACACAAAAGGATGTTAGCTTTTCTTACCTAATTCTGTTATAATAGGGATGTTGGCTCCTGTTGTGATGGAGGGTTGACGTAACAGGCCATGGACTGGACTGTTGTCTGGAGATGATCTATCCATCCCAGGGGGTGTAAAGCCTAAAAGAGAAAAAACAAAACAAAACAAGAACAAACCAAACCAAACAAACAAAAAAACAGAAACAAAACAAAACCCACAGAAAGTTAACACAGACAGTTAACTGTATGAAAAGCAGCCTCATCAACATCAAGGAACTTCCTAGCTCTTGTGTTTTTTTCTTTCAGAAAAATAACCCTGCTGTTAAGAAAAATAAGAAATACTTAATTTTCACTGTTTCTTTTTTAAAAAACATAATCCTTCACAAGTATGCAGGTCACTTCTATTGTAAGATAATGGTAGCTAATGGAGCAGATTTTGTTATCCTAGGTAGACTTTAAATGAAAACATACAAAATGGAAATAGTAATGCTTACTTAAATATCATTTAAAAAAATCAAGACATTTGTGTTAGAGATGTTTAATTTTGTCCTATTAGTTTTTCAAATAATCTTGAAACAAACCGCTTTCCTCAAACCTCAACTAACATCTTAAAAAGTATTATTTGTAAAAAGTAATATAATGAGAAGGACTGATTGCTTCCATTAGCAGATGCAGTACAACACACAAAGTGGTTAGATTGTTTGTTTGTTTCATAATTTTCATAATTTGTATTTTTATGAGGATTACCAAAATATGAATACTGGGATGGAAGGGCCTATTCTAACAGGGGGGGAAAAAAAAAAAAAAAAAGAGACAAGATGGAAGGAAAATAACACAGGTTTTCAAACAGCATGCAAGAAGCACACTTGAAAAGAAACTAGAAAGAGTTTTATATCTTTGGGGATGTATAGGGAAGAAAGGTGTGAGAAAGCATGAGGAAAAATATTGGCAGGTACTCAAAGAGAAAAGAAAGATCTGGAGAGCAGCAAGTTTCACCTCTAAAATGATTGTGTTTTCAGCCTGATTATCAGCATTTTTAAATGGAGCTCTTGATACTGAGCATTTCAATTTAGCATTTATTTATTTAATTAATAAAAGAAAACAAAGAAACAACAGGCAAACCTTTTCAAATGTGATTTTAAGCACTGAAAAATAGGTGATTATACCAAAGCCCATGTAACTGTTGGACAGGAAATTTCCATTTGAGACTAATGTACTCAATCTCCCTTGACCAGTAAAGCTACAGAAAGCATGGAAATCATCTAATGTCTTTAGTGCAGAAGTAATGGTGAAGCCAGAGTTTGACTTTAGGGTTCCTTTAGACCAACGTCAAGACAGCATTTTTAAGCAAATATTTGACCACTAGGAATAGGATTAAGCCAAGCTCACTTTAAAACACACATTTCTGAGATAGCATTCATTATTTTGTCACATTATGACCAAGTTCTTTGACTTCACACCTCACATCCAGGCACAGAGATTTGATCCTCTGTCATTAATGGTCTGACCTAGTTTTGAATTCTCCATATACTTATTCTAAATTAACCCCAGCCAATTTCATTTCTGATTTAACTTACAGAATCACAGAATGGTTTGGGTTGGAAGGGACTGTGAAGATCATCTAGTTCAAACACCCCTGCCATGGGCAGTGACACTTTCCACTCAACCAGGTTGCTTGGAGCCCCATCCAGCCTGGTCTTGAACACTTCCAGGGAGGGCGCATCCACAGCTTCTCTGGGGACAACCTGTTCCAGTGTCTCACCACTCCCACACTACAGAATTTCTTCCTGATAACCAATCTAAATCTACCTTCTTTTAGACTGAAACCATTACCCCTTGTCCTCTCACTATATGCCCTCATAAAAAGTCCCTGCCCAGCTTTCCTGCAGCCTCCTCAGGTTCTGGAGGGCTTCTGTAAGGTCTCCTCAGAGCCTTCTCTTCTCCAGGCTGAACAATGCCAACTATCTCAGCCTGTCTTCACAGGAGAGGTGTTCCAGCCCCCTGGTCATCCTCATGGCCCTCCTCTGGACTAGCTCCAACAGCTCCGTGTCTTCTTATGGTGGGGACTCCAGAGCTGGACACAGTACTCCAGGTGGGGTCTCACGAGAGTGGAGTAGAGGGGCAGAAATCCTTTCCTTGACCCGCTGGTCATGCTTCTTTTGATGAAGCCGAGGATAACTTCCTTATCTTCTTGCAATGTGGAAATAATTTCACTGAGCTAAATCTATTAATTGCAACTAAATTAAAAGGATTCTATCATATTATCTTCTTATCTTTCTTCAGTTTGGGGACTAATTTACAAACCAGGAAATCATTAAACTGTAGCTGTTAATATGTAGTACTAGCTTTATACTGTCTTTCAGAAAGTCATGGCTCTTTTCCAGTAATAATTATCATCACTCTTAAACCATCCATAAACAAGACAAACTATAAGGACCACTAGATCTGGATGTCTCAATTTAATGGGATTTAAATTTTTATTTGATATTCAGTTCATTTCTCCCTATTTTTTATGTATATCACATATAGAAGATATGAGTAATAAAACTAGAATCACTGAGGGTGATTCTTAGTCCTCCAGAACATACCAGAAGGAACTTCCTGACTATCACATAAAAGCTAGATACAACATGAGGATTGTAATGACAAAGTAAATAAAATTTTGAGAAGTCAGTGAAGAAATTCCTTAGGAGAAGAGGATGTGATATCTTCAACAGGCCTACAAGATGAAAACATCACCACAGGCAAGCCTACAACAGCAAAGCAATCCTATTTAATATTACTAGCACATAGAAAAATCTTTAGAATGTAGATTTCTTACAGACAATGTTAACAGTTGGTCATTTAATACAACTTGTTGTGTTGAAACTAATTCAATAAGACCGACATGGTGACAGTGAGTTACATTCCCAACTGTTGTGGGTTTGCAGATGTGTCCTGGTGCCTGGCACTGGGAACGATAGCTGTATTGGCTCTTTGAATGCTTGCTTCTGCGTGGCAGAGCCTAGGATTTCTCAGACTCACAAAATGAGTCTAATAGAGCTCCTTCAGGCACCACCTCATGAGTTAGAGGCAACCTTGACATTCTCTCATCACAAGGACTTCAAATGGAGGGAATCCTATCTGAGGACAGGTGGGTATCAGTGTGACACCTCCTTCTTCAACAGGCTCCAGTGTTTAAGCTTTGCATTCTGTTATGCTACAGAAAGGCAAGATACAGACTTTATCACACTACAGTAAAAAAAGCTCAAGGAGATGTAGACTCCTTAAGCAGTTAAAGTGGCAGGCCCAGTTGGGTCCTCTGCAGAATTAAAAGTCAGAATGGCAACAGCAAAAGTTTTTACAGTTACTTTTCTGAGAGCAAAGAAAACTAGTCTTGTTCCCATACAGTCCCTAAAACATCTTTCAATGAATCAGGCTCTTCAGATGCTAAGAACACATGAGCATTTCCTTATGTGCTAAGAGCAAGTTGAAGAAAGTTGGCATAACTCTGTCTACATGTGTAAGCCTTCCTTGCTTTCCCTGTACTGCAACGTACACACACACATGCACACTCTCCATCAAAGGCGATTTGAAGCCACTTCTCTAACCCTTCAAATATCTGTCTTCCTAGAATGGTGTTAGAAGATTGACGTAAATGTGTCATTTCTGTTAGACACAGACTGTCAGGAGCTCTGTAATTGCACACTGCTTACATAGTGCATTCAGTCTGAAATGCAGGAAGCATATTAAAGGGACTTTGTTTTCTCCTTGAATGAAAAATTGACTAATGCCTTAATATTTTTCATTCTATGCTCTTAGAAGATGTGAGAAATATCTGCTATATCAATTTAATTCCTTGTCTACAAGGCACTTAGAAAAAAATCCAGTTTTAAAAAATACAAAAATCTTGGAATATTTTTATGAAAGGAAAATTGTGAGTACTTGGGAATTTTGGGTGTGTACGTTTGGAATCACAAGGGGTTGTACACCTTCAGGCCCCCCGCCCGTTCCGATTGGTCGGTGCCG